TGATGCCATCGCAAGTCATTATAGTTGAAGATACTCATGTGTACTCGTGGGTTTGCTTTGGTTTCTCCATAAAACTTCATACCATCGGAGATAGTGTCTCTTACTTATATATATTCCTGATCTTCTCCTTGATTAGCAAATGTGGGACTCCAACAGTTCTCGACATGAAACTGAGAGAAAAAATTACTCCAACAGGTGTGTTCTTTGTTGTTTATCTTAAATTACTTGTTGTGATACCTAGAAGTCAATAGTTTTTGTTGGGTTATTTAGAGTTCGTTTGTAGCGATATTACTACCCTAACCCTTCGTTTTTATAATTGGGGGCATTTCAGTCATTTGTCGTTGTTTGCCGTTATCCGATGACATCAGCAAGATTACAAGAACTTATTATTAAAAATAGATTCTTTTTACTTTAAGAGAGAACATATAAAAAGATTAAGTTAAGCTTTAGAAGGGTATATGTTAAATTATGGTAGAGTTTAAGGAGATTAATCAAGATTAAGATTTGATTAAATTTGGGAAGATTGAAGAACATTGTGTAATTAGAAGACAATGATGGATCAGAAATTATTGCATTACAAGAATTTATCAGATTTGGGAATGGATCCAATTCTTGAGAATATTTTGTGTTTGATTCTCTCAACCAAAAAATCAAAGAATAATTTTGTTGAATGCACTAACAATTACATTCCCCACTTAGAATAACTTTCTTTTAACATCAATTCCAAATAAACTTCTAATAATCCATTCAACATCGCAATAAAACTCATTATTTTATTCAAATTTAGCTCATAAATATGTTTAGAAAAGAAAATATTTTAATTATTGAAAAACAGTTTACAATAGAAGCTATTGGTAAATGTTGATTGATTGAAAAGAGAAGCTTGTGTATTATCGACGCTCGGAGCCAAACCCTTATCGATCTTGCTACTATGTCTCAAAACAGAAGCTTGTGTGGAACCTTTTCTTTGTGGTGCAAAATCTTGCGGCAATATATATTAGTTCTAGCGTTGATTTTGTGTATTCTCAATTAGTAAATTCAATTGTTAATTTGCATACGACGTATCTTTCGATGGCAATCAAGTTCTCAAATTCATTTTCCTTGTCTTTGGAGCTGAGCTAAGGTAACATGAAGAATTTCTACTTATTAAGCTTGTAAAGCTTTAAGAGAGAACAGAGAGTAAATGAACCATCTCGTGTAGTGATTGTGAACTTCTAAAAGGATATTGAATGAGCGGTTGATGAATCAAACTCAACCCTATCCTTTGGAGTTTGAATTCACATCTATGGCTAATTTAGTAGGCTAAGATGTGTATAATTTCAAATTGTAAGGTTAAACATAATCCTTCGAGAATTTAATACCGTTTTTTTCATATTTCGACACAAATGTCTATGATGAAGGCAAATGTCGCAAGGAACAATTCTTTTGTACTTTGGTACGAGGGAAAAAAAATAAACAAAAGGATCAAAACTCAGATAGGAAAGGACAAAAAAAAAAAAAAAAAAGCATTCCCAAGAGTTCCATCCGTGATAGACGACACTCTCTTTGACACTCTCTTTCTCATCTTGTGCCAGATGCAACAAAGGACTCATCTTGTGCTAGATGCAACAAAGGATGAGTACTTTTCTTTCTCACGAACCACAAGAGCGCCAAGAATTCTAAGGAGAAAAACTCATTTTACTTTCAATATGAAACACGTAAAAAATGGTTAGTCTGTCAAAAGTTCTATTCTTTCGAGAACGTAGTTCAAAATCAAAAAGGGTTCATGAATGTAACAACTCATGCACACCACTAGCAAATATTGTCCGCTTTAGCTCGTTACATATCACTGTCAGCCTCACATTTTAAAACGTATATGCTAGAAAGAGGTTTTCACGCCTTTATAAGAAATGTTTTATTCTTCTCTTCCACTGGTCTCACGTGGGATCTCAGGGTGAGCAAAAGGATTAGCAAACTATATCCGTATTGAGTATATAGCAATGGTTGGATGGTTAAAACGTGGGCTGAGTGAAGAGTACATGTCTGAAATATTCATTCAAATGGCCGACCAAAACAGCCCAAATGGAAAGGAGATTCTATAAAAAATCTGCACAAGCCCAAAACCATACAACTTTACTTCTATTTCTTTCAAGTCTCATCAAGAAAAAACACGGTTCTTTAACAAACTGCACATTAGCATCATTCTATCTCATGTCTTCATTCTTTTGCATTGTAGAACAATGAAGAAAGATTAGACAGATGTACGAAAACTACACGAAATTGCGTGGCTGAAGTCGTCTTCAACCTGCAGCCAATATCCAGAGCATGATCAGAGCTGAAATGGCTATGGTTATCCAGCTTAGAAAGGCTAAAACAACGGAGATTTGAAACTTTCGACATTCGTCGCCGAAACTACAGTGTCCCAAATTGCTGAAGAACAAGACGGCTACGCCACCTGAGGCGGAAGCTGCGGCAAGAGACAAGGTTGCTGTCACCTGCAAACCAATCGATGGAGAAATGGTTGAACTTCTAGTAGTAATCACAAGACAAAATCTAAAGAAACTAAGAATTTTGTAGGTGCTCAGTTCTCACCCAATCCCCAACTACAAAGAGGCTGACAAGAATGGGGTTATGAAGCATCTTCTTTCTTAGCAATGCATATGCATCTAACAATGCCAACATGAAACTCCATGTCACTTGCAGACCCATTGATGCAATCACATAGCTGCATGTCATATCACAAACTAAGAGTTCATTTGGGATAGATGAAGATACATCCAAAGAAAACGGCATCAATACGTTTAAATTTGTGTCGTATGTCCTGTCAAACTTGATCACTTTACTATAAGGTAGAAATTTTATTGCATTCAATGAATGATCACAAAATGTGAGGTCCCACATCGGTTGGAGAGGAGAACGAAACATTTCTTATATGGATGTGGAAACCTCTCCCTAGTAGACTCGTTTTAAAACCTTGAGAAGAAGCCCAGAAGAGAAACCCAAAAGAGAACAATATCTACTAGCGATGGATTTGAGCTGTTATAAATGGCATCAGAGCCAAACACCGGGTGGTGTACTAGCGAGGATGTTGGGCCCCCAAGGAGGGTTGGATTGTAAGGTCCCACATCGGTTGAAGAGGATAACGAAACATTCCTTATAAGAGTATGGAAACTTCTCCCTAGTAGACGCGTTTTAAAACCTTGAGGGGAAGCCCAAAAAGGACAATATCAGCTAGCAATGGGCTTGGGCTGTTACAAATGGTATTAGAGTCAAACACCGGGCAGTGTGCCAACAAGGACGTCGAGCTCCCAAGGGGGTGGATTGTAAGGTCCCACATCAATTGGAGAGAACAAAACATTACTTATAAGGGTATGCACAAACTTCTCCCTAGTAGACACATTTTAAAACCTTGAGGGAAAGCCCAAAGAAAACAATATCAACTAGCGGTAGGCTTGGGTGGTTACACAAAATCCCCTTGAGGAAGCAATTGTAGTACTTGAGAGAGAAATACATCAAAGGAAGAGTTGGTATGCTCGAGAGATTTGAACATTTGATCTCTTGATCGAAGAAATATATCTCAACCAATTAAGTTATATTCAGGTCGGAGACAATCTAGAAAGTTAAGATATAGCCAGTTTCTTTCCTAATAAGCTTCACCTAAGGGATGTTTATAAGCATTAATATAAAGCATAATCTACATTGAACTTGTCACAAAGTTTACTCACATCAAATGAATAAAGAAGAATAGATAGAGTTAATGCTAAGCTCAAGAACACAAGAGGATGTTTGATAGCCCTGCAAGAACAGCTCTAGATAAACAAACAAAGAACTCTAACCCCATCCCAAAACCCCAAATGCCCTGTTCAATTATTCAAAAGTATAGCTATTTCCAAACAAAAAGGAGCCAAACCACAGCAGAAGGCAAGGATCACATCCAGTCATAAAATCCTTATGCTCCATTGAAATGGAGAACAAAAACCCTTGAAGAATATTCGATTCCAATCACAATCAAGAACAATCAAAGCCAAAAGAAAGAGAAGAGAAGGGTAAGAATCAATAGATACCAAAAAGCTGTGAAGTTATAGAAGCCAACAGCAGTAGCCATGGAAGCAACAGAACCAGCAGCAAAAACGCATTGCAAAATCCTCAAAACAAAGGCAGTCAAAGTCCCTGGAGTCCCAGGAAAATCCAACATATTTCCCCTTTTCTCCAAATCAAAACGCACTCAATCACAGATCCCAAATGCAACAAAACCCCCCATTTTCTTCTCCCACAATACTCCATCCACAAGCCACAGAAACCCCTCAAATCCCCACCATTTTACAAACCCATTAAAACCCAATCACCAAATCGAAACGGATCACAAGAAAAACAGAGCAATGTGGGTATTGGAAGGTTGTGGTAAGTGGGTTTTGAAGCGATTAACGAACAAGAAAGGCATCCATGGATGGATCTTCGAAGGGTTGAAAATGGGAAGAAAGAAATGAAGAAAAGAAGGTTAAAAATGAGAAATGGGAATCCCTAAAGGGGGTTCTTCGGCGGCACGCGTTGATAGGCCCACCATATCCCCTGGATATTTTTGGTGGGGTGCGGTCAGTTAGGGAGTGGAAGAACTAATTTGAACGAAATTGGTTAGAATATTTCTTAAAAGAAGACAACTTTGGAGGTTGTGAAACTTGTGGGTGAAGCACTCAAGAGTGGCCTTCAGCTTACTTTAACTTTACTTTTTATTCATATTCTTACTATTCTTGTTATGATGTTGTTGTTCATAACTTGTATCTCAATTGGTATGCTTCCAAGAATTTAATTGATATCTAATCTTAGTATTGGATATCTATATGTGAAAACACGGTCATATCATAACTTGTGACTCATAATATACACGATCCAATTTAGCTAATAAAGAGAAATCTCTACTCTCTCTCCCATTAATTGTTTAAATTGGGATTCTCCACAGGACGTCCTGAGTTCAATATTTTTTAAAATGAACAAATATATTAGATTTAAAATTGAATAGTGTGCCTAATAATTCAATATGCCCGTAAATATTTTAAAATATGAAGTCTCTAACTCATTAAACACACAAATGAAAGTTGATTTCACCGAAAACATTTTACAACTTAAACAAGTCTAATTTAGAACACTCGTCAAGCCCATTTGAAAAGTGTAGCTCTATAAATTCTTTAGGATTGACCTGTCTGTATATTGGAGGGTTGTCTTCAGATAATAGCTCTTTAATCGGTTCATACAATTTTGAGTTCTTCACATCCTTCCCCATGTATGGTCGAAACTGGCTTGCTATTGAAGTTCTTGGCCCTATCTCCTTTGCTACCACCCGGTGACTCACACTCACCATTTTATCGTTCGAAATGATCTGCTGGAACAACGAAACAATATATTAATATAGTCTCAAATCATTTACCTAAACTTTCAATATTGTATCTAAACTAATTTTGTCTAAAGTTTCAAAAACACACTATGTAACAGCCCAAGTCTATCGCGATATTGTCATTTTTTTATGTTTCTTTTTTATTTTCCTTCCAGATTTGTAAAATGAGGGAGAAGTTCTAACGCCCTTATAAAGAAATGTTTTGTTCTTTCCCTACGATGTGGGAACTCACAATCCACCCTCCCTTCAGGACTAGCGTTCTAACTGGCACTTGTTTCTCTCGGATCGATATAGTTTTCCTCTCTAATCAATGTTGGACTTCACCGAACATAAGTTAAAAAGAACTTACCTGAAGGAAATCTCCAGCGTTGATTACAAGGGCTCCATGCAATGGGGGGACATCGAACCATTGATTGTCATGGAAGACTTGGAGGCCACCGATTTGGTCCTGTAAAAGTATGGTAATGAAGGCCACATCGGTGTGGTTGGTGGTGCCAAGGGTCAGGTCAGGCTCGGGGCAGGCTGGGTAGTAATGGCCTAACATTAGGAGCCCCTCTGCGCAGCCCATGTCCTTCAAATGGGTATCTCCAAGTTCAAGAGCCTTTGATATCAGCTCAAACAGAGTTAATCCCAGTTTCTTCACTTGCTCTGTGTATTCCATCACTATTTCTCTGCCAAAAATCCATTCCAAATCATCATTTTCTTAGTGGGTTTTGTTCCAAATTTATGAACTTTTACCTGCAAATTTGAGGGATCTCCTCGGGAAGGGGAAGGCTGGGAGCCATGGAAAAAGAAAGGGTGTCTCTCCAATTAGCCGCTTTCGATTGGAACAGATCGAAATTCGAAAAATAGCTCACTTTTTTGGTACGATCCCGGCTGTAAAATTGTTTCTTCAACTCTGGATCTTGTTCATGAAACCCACGAACCCCATTGATTACTTGCTCCAGAACTTCCACCGGAATCCCATGATTCACCACCTGGAAAAACCCCCATTTCCGGCAAGCGTTTCTGATTTCATCCACCACCTCTTCGACGCTGCCGTGGAGGTCGATTATCGGAATACTCGACTCTGACTCTGTGGCGGCGGTTTTGGTATGTGGTTTGACGTGGCAGTGAAATATAGAAGGGATTTTGGTTATTCCGGCGTCCAACAGCCCCTTCACGCCGGATTTTGTATTCTCGAACGCTTCCAACTGGGATCTTCTCGAGTTGAGTGACTCGGTTTTAATGGCCGCCATTATGATCGAACCTGAGAAAGAAATCCAAGGAGGAAAAATCAGCTCTGTTTTGCAGTGTGTTGTTGGAGTTACAGAATTGGGATATTTGAGAATTAGGATTGAGTTGAAATGTGAGGTGGATATTATTTTATCCTTTACTTGTTCATTGTTCATGGAGCAAGAATTCTGGTTGGTTCACTCTGTTCTTATATCGTTTGTAAATGTCCAATTCTATTGCTACTTGTTTACTAGGGAGAGGTTTCCATACCCTTCGATCTAGCTCCGATACTATTTGTAATAGTTTAAGCCCACCACGGTTTGTTCACTAAGGAAAAGTTTCCACACCTTTATAAAAAACGTCGTTCCTTCTTCTCACAATCCACCCCTATGTGGGCCAGCGACTGAGCCCACGGCTACTTGTTCACTAGGGAGAATTCTTCACATTAAGGAAGGAATGTCATTCCTTCTTCTCACAATCCACTTCTCTTGAGAGCCAGCGACTGCTCGGTGCAGGACTCTTATACCATTTATAAGAGTCCAAACCCACCGCGAGCAGATATTGTCCACTTTGTCAATATAGTCCGTTTTGACCAATTACGTATCGCTCTTGGTCTTACGGTTTTAAAATGCTTCGACTAAGCAGAGATTTTCACACCTATAAAAAAAAAATATTTTATTCCCCCTCCCTAATCGGTGTGACCTCACCATCGCAAGAATTCATAACTCACTCATAACTTAGATCGAGTTGCATATGATCGTGTAAAATATTAATCTTCCCAAAGAGTACGATCTTATTCATATACTATAAACGAGTCGTTTATAAACTCTATGCAAATAAAAATCTCTAAAAATGCACAAGATAATATACCAGAACCAACCGGTAGGACTCGGATCAAAGCTTGAACTGTTCAAGCGCAGAGACCCCATTAAGCCCTTTAGTATAATAATGCGCCACAAAGTTCTTGATCGTCGTTTCTCTATAAACCGCCGGCTTCTCCTCCGAAATCAACTCCTTTATCGGCCCATAAACCTTCCTCTCACTCTCCGGCGGAAACTGGTACCTGAAAAAACACGCCACCGATATCCTCGGCCCTTCACTTTTAGCCACCACCCTATGATTCAAGCTCTTCAATCGACCATTCGAAACAAGCTTCAACAACAAAACCAAACAAATTCAATAATCCCAAACAAACTCCAACATTCAATCACAAACCCATTACCCTTTTCAATTCACCTGTAACATATCGCCGATGTTTATCACAAGCGCGCCGTCGATTGGCCGGACATCAACCCACCGGTCATCATGGCGGACTTGAAGCCCCCCGATTTGGTCCTGTAAAAGCACTGTTAAGAAACTGCTGTCGGAGTGGTCGCTGGTTCCAATTGCGAGCTCTGGTTCAGGGCAGGCTGGGTAGTAATGGCCGAACAGGACAAGCCCCTCGCTGCAGCCGATTTCGTTCAACCGATTGGGGTCGAGCCCTAGAGCTTCGGACACCAATTCGAATAGGGTCTTCCCTAATTCGAGTACCCTTTTGGTGTAATTAAGGATTATGTCCCTACAGATTAAGGGTATGTCTTTGGGTTCAGCCCCTCGTGGTGCGATTGCGCAGGTTAGTGTGTCTCTCCAATTTGTAACAGGGGCTTGGTAGAGATCGAAATTGGTGTTGTAGAGTACCGTTTTGGTGTAGTCGCGAGAGTAGAATTGCTTCTTTTGTTCGCCCTCTTGCTCGTGGAACCGTCGGATTCCGGCGAGAATCTCCGCCGTGACGGTTGAGGGGATGCCGTGGTTGAGGATTTGGAAGAACCCCCAATTTTCGGAAGCGTCTCGGATTTGGTCGATTATGATGGATCGCAATTGGGGGTTTTGGGCCGTTGAGTGAAGATCGATGATGGGGATGGTGAAACGGGAGTCGTCGGATGGTAGGGCGGCCGTGGAGGAGGACTTCTGGTTTTGGTGGAGGAAGATTTTTGGGAGGTTCGTCAAGCCCGAGTCCACCAGTCCTTTTACCCCTAATTTTGATTCGTCTAAAGCTTTCAATTCTCTTTGCCGGTCGTAGGCGTGGTTGACGGAAAGCTTCTCCGCCGAACTCCGACCTTCCGCCGCCGTCTCCATTTTTGTTTCTTGAGGGAGCTTTTTGCAGTACCCTACTGACCGCTGCGATCGGTATTAATTTTTCTGGATAAAGATCAGGATTTTATTGAATCATACAAAAATATATTGTTTATTAGTGTTATTATTATTTAAGCTCAACTTGGCTGCTAGCTATTCAAACCTACCATGACCATAAATTCGAATTTATGAACTTCAACTTCAACCATCAAATTTTAGAATAATTTCAAACTTTTTGAGTTCATCGTCTAAGGAGAACACTATCTACTCTCAATTGGCTTGAGCGGTTATACAAATAGTATTAGAACTAGATACTGAACCATGTGCGAGTGAGGAGATTGAAACTTCAAGGGGTGAATTATGAGATTTCACGTTGGTTGGAGAGAAGAACGAAACATTTCTTTAATATGTATCAACCTAACTTACTAAAAATTAAATTTCATTAACATACTTCAACTTTAAAACCAACGATGCATTTATACCTCATAGATACTGTTAGATGAACAAACTCTCCACAATTGTATGATATTATCCACTTTAAGCATAAACTCTAGTGACTTTCCATTGGGCTTCCCCAAAAAACCTCGCACCAATGGAGAGAGTTGAGCATGAACTCTAGTGACTTTCCTTTAAGCTATCCCAAAAAACCTCATAGTGACTTTTCTTTGGACTTCCCCAGAAAACCTCAAAAAGTCTCGTAGCAATGGGTAGGACATTATTTGATTATAAACCCATGATCATTCCGGACGTGAGACTTGTATCATCCAACCGATACCAATGACAAAAACTTTCTTAAGTTTATCAATATACCATAATTTTCTGATAAGAAAAAGAACCGAAATAAACTTAAATTTATGTGAAATAAATTTCATTACAATCACATAATCCCCGACTCGAAAATACAAGAAAACATCCTCAAGTTCATATCACAAACCAAAATAAAAGATTCAAAGACAAGAGGATCATCATATGAGTGTTAAGCTACTAAAAGAGTCCTACAGACAACAAAAAAACACATGCGCCGCCCTCCCTCTCCTCAGCTGATCATGATAATCTATGATGTTTTTGATTTGGGATTCCTCTTCCCTGCTTGTCTCCTTGGAATCGAGTTCTTCATGCCGATGAAGAACAGCAATGCTCCCAACAATGCCAGATTCTGCAACAATCGTACCACCCAAACATGTCAGCGTTTGGATTGTAACAATCAGATGATTCATCATTCATGGTGTTCAATTTACCTGAGTGAATTTCACAAACAGTTCGTTGAATTCCTTCTTCTCCACGTCGTAGTTGTAGAAATCGTACAAGATCGGTGTAGCAATAGCCTGATGCAAGATCTGCCCACCAAGAACACCAACAACATTCAACAAAATTCAACCCAGTTGGTTTCAAAAACTAGATATCATTATCATACATACCAGTAGAAAGGCTCCAATGGAGCTGTTGAAGATGAACAGCAGACTTCCCAGGCCCTTCAACACAATCGCACTAGCCACAAGATGTAAGATCTATACACCCAACAACAAATCTCAGAATGCCACTTTGAAATTAAGAATTAATGAGAAACTGATGAACAACATTTTCTCACCTCAACTTTTGGGAAATTCAACCCAGTATGAGATTCGAAGTTGCGAGTGAAAACGTTGAATTTCGGCTTCAGATACTTGGCCGCTGATCCTCCATCAGTACCAAAATCATTGAACCTAAACAAACAAAAACAAAATCAAGATCCAAAACGATTTTGTCGATACCTCAAGTGATTATCTAAAAAAATCCAAAAATCAACGAAGAACTAAACACGCTGTCATTTCAACTCACAGATCTGAACACATAACAGGAAGAAACAAGGCTAACAAGACTTCAAAACAACAGTAACAACCATGATTTCAAAATTTAAAAGTTCAACAACTAAAACCCTAAATCAGGGTTTTCTCAACACACATTTAGAAAGTGACCCTACACCCGAAAATTCAAATTTCCAGTGAAGAAACTTCAGATTAGACAAAAGAGCAACAAATTAAAGTAGATCTGAGTTGCTTACTCTTGCCAAGCAGAGAGAACGAAGACCGAGACGAAGAGAACTCTTCCGACGAACGAAACAAACGCCATTTCTGCAAGAAAAAACAACTCCGATACCGATGCCGATTCCGATTCCGACCGAGATCTCGAGCCCGAAACAAGAGGAGAATAAAAAGAACAGGAAAAAAAAAAAAAAAAACAAATAGATTTTTTCTTTTTCCTGTCTGAAAACTTCCTTCCGTCTCCTTTCGCTTCCTCTGCTTCTCTCTCTCACGCTCCTCTAAATATAAACTCGGCGAGACTGTGGAATTTATCCGTACTCGCTTTCGAAATTGACTGTATTGACCACCCCTTGCGGTCCACGTTTCTCCATCCAATCATATTCGTTCATTTGGCAATAAGTTTGCCACGTGTCAGTTTCATCGAGCCAGTGAGAGTGCATACGTGGCTTTTACGGAATTTGTCCTTGTATTTAAATACCCGTCTTTTTTAAAGTGATTTACAATATTACCCCTATGTAATTTCTTCCATGAAATTATCAACTGTTATCCAATATTTTTAATTAAAACTTATTTAGTACGCGACGTAAAAAATAAGTAATTCAATCAAAACATATTTGTATTCCAATAATTGTTGTATAGTATATTTATAAACTATAAATAACAATAAAATATTATATTTAGTTTATTTTTTAACATATATTAATTAATAATATTATTAAAAATAATAGTTCAGATTAGAAGCTTATAATTAACAAATTAAAAGTAAAATTATGCAAGCTTACATTGAGACTCGACAATATGATAACATTGTGGAGAGTCGTGGTTACTAGCCATAATAAATGTAATTTTTTTAATTTTAATTTTAATTTCACAAAATCCATATATTTTTGGTATAATTCAACTTTAGTTAGGGTTAAAATGGTCGAAATTATAATATAATTGGAACTTAATTTCCGTCTCATATGTTTTAGGGTTTAAAATATGAAAATTTAATTGATAACTTAACGTATAAGTTGAATTTATTGGAGGTGGAATTTTTAAATTTTTTATATTTGAAGATGTTTAGTGGAACTAACGTGGCAATGACTTTATTTTTATATTTTTTTTCTTTTGGAAAAAAAGTAAAGGAAAAATCAGATTCTCACCGATTAAAGAAAAAGATAGTGGAAAAAAACTATGAATTATTGGTGTGATTTTATTATTATTATTATTTATTATTATTTTGATATCTAATTTTCTTTACAATAATTATGCCAATAATAACTGTAAATACAACTCAGCTACGAAGCAAATCACGTGATGCACGTGATGAGAGTAGCCGTCCCAAACTTTACGTTTTAGGATTGAACGGCTGAGATGAGATCTGAGCGCTGACCCAATCTATTTCTCCACACTTTCCTTATATTTTAAAATCTAATTATGTGAAAAAAAAGAATATCAAAATTAAAATATTATTTTAGTTTTTATTTTAATTTTTATATTTTAAAAACGTATTTACTAAAATAGACGAAAAATGATATTTAACAATAATTTTTCTTAATGGGAAACCTAATAAATTAATTGATGGATAATAATGAATAATGGGTAGGTGATGAAATTGGATTGTTAAATAGGTGGCATTAAATTGTGATCTAATTAGTGAAAGTTTGGTCTTCTTTGAATGATACATGTTATTATGTCCTTTCCCATTTTATTTGTATTCATAACTTCCAACTCTTTTTGTGATCTACTTAATGCCATTTATTAAAAGACGGCAGTGTGATTAAATTCATTTACGTTATTAATTATAATTAATTTATTAATAATTATAACTTAAACAGTAAATATATATTTCTTTTTCATTTTCTAAACACTAAAAAATATGATAGATTTGGTATTCATATTAAATTTTATGTGATAATAATATATAGTAATAATTATTTTCTTAAATTAATTATAAATCCAAGCCTAAATTGTATGATTGGATAGGACATGTAATTTGGTAATACACCATTTATAAATTGAGTTAAAATATAGGGACAGGACTGGTAGAGTGAAAAAGTCCCACATCGGAAAGGCTGAAGGAGAAGAGGGAACTAACCTGTATAAATATGGGCTGACACTAATTCGGAATGTGGAGGGTCGGTTGGCTAAATATGCCGCGCTCGCGTATAATGAGTGGGTTCTGTATGGTAATATAGATATGGCCGACATAATTTGTGGAAGATTCAATAGGGTTGGCTCAATTAGCCGACCCTTCAAGCCTCTCCCTTACGCATTCTGATTTTGTAGTCGAAATAATAATACTAAAAATGGAATGCGAAGTTTTAAAAGTATTTTTAAATTAAAAAAAATTTGAAGCCCCACTTGTGCTATTACAAGTTTAAAATTATGTGCTTTTAGTTAATAGCTAAAAATTACATTTAAATAAATATCTTTACCTTAAAAGAAGATTCAAAAGTTCCTTACTTCAAAAAGTTTAAAAAAAAAAAAAAAACTTTGAAAAAAAGTAAAAAATCTCTTACGATGAGTGACATAAAAAGAAAATTTATAAATTAATTAAAAATATGTAATAACCTATCAATTTGATATAGGATAGAATTAATAGAAAATAAGACGGCTTGTTAAAAAAATTTAACGATAAATTAAAAATAAAAATTAATTTGAAGTCAAAATAATTTTTTTATTTTATTTTAAAACCAAAATGTACGATTGGCTAGCGATCTGGAGTAGGTTTAATTTTATCATTGTAGTCTCTCTTATAATTTTTTCTGGTTGGACTCACGATCTTAAAGGTTTTGATTAATCCTTTCTCTCTCTCTCTAGAAATGGGGTTCTTCTCTTTCCTTGGTCGGCTACTCTTTGCCTCCCTCTTCATCCTCTCCGCCTGGCAAATGTAATTTCTCGAACTGAAATCATTTTTCTGTTTGATTTGTTTCCGATTATCATCGACTTCTGGGGTTTGTAATTGATGCGGTGTTAGATGATTGGCTTTGTGTTTTAACTGACTTTAGTTTTCTATTGGTTGAGATAATTGTTCTCTTTTTGGGATTGATATTCTTTTTGTTGATTGAATCTACT